TTGTTTGTTTCAACTTGGGACAAATTTATGGGAGTTTTAGCGCAATTTTGTTGCAATTCATTTTTGTGCCGCTCTGCTGTTGACTTGTCCGGGCCAGCCTTTGTCCGGAACCCGAAAAACTGTTGTTGTTTATGTCCATGTCTGTCCGCCTTATATGCATACTCGTTTATGCATACCAGCGCTGATTGCTTTGCCGTTTGCAGCTACACTCCTTTAAAAGCCGGAAATGTTTTTCACTAGTTTTTCACGTGGCATAAAGTTGCCGTAATGCGGCAAAAGGCCGCCCTCTAGTCTACGCCAGCCAGACAGACGGACAGAGGGACACACACACACATGGAGAGAGAGAGAGAGAGAGAGAGAGACATAGAGAGGGAGAGGGAGAGTGAGATGGGGAGAATTACAGAAACAGTCCGATGTACTGGCCTTTAGACATGCCTTTGCTACATGCCTTTTGGTGCCTTAGTTTCCACTCTAATGTGCGGACTTTGTGGGTGGCTTTGATGTGTGTGTGTGTTTCCATTTCCCTCTTTGTGTGTGTGTGTGTGTGTAGCAGACATGGGAATATGGCTGGCATAAAACTAAAGTCTAGCAACTTCATATGGAGCACGACATTAATCAACGTTTTTGGGCCAACGACTCGGCCAACAATCGTGTCGCTCGTGTTACGTATTGCAGCTAATTAGATAGTTCGAGTCCGACTTCGAGTTGGCCCAAAACATGTTATTTGCATCGCTACAATATATTTTTCAAATAACTAAACTTTTCAACTACGTTGAACTATGTATAAAAGCGTATGAGATATTTATGGGCGGGGCAGCTCTGTTAATTATAAAGCTAGAAAACCCAAAAATCACAAAATGTTTCTCATAAGCATTTTGAATTTTTTTTTGTATATATTTTAAATATTTCGAATTTACCTGAGGAACTTTTCAAGTGCCTAAAACATTTTTATGATGCCCCATTTATTTGGCCAACTCTTTAGCTATTAACACCTTTCGAAGCAGCGAGTGTAGAAAAACGTGGCACTACAACAGGCAGCCTGCCACGCCCCCAGCCCCCAGCCCCCAGCACCCACCGCAGTAACTTTCGCTTGTAGTTGTATGTGCATATTTCACGGCTTTAGCAGCCGTTTAGCAAGTTTTGGTGTCTGGCCGCTAGGGGGCGCCACCCACCCCCCTCTCACACACACACACACACACGTTTAAAAATGAACAATTTTATGACCTGTTCAACTAACAGCAAGAATAACGACTACAACAGCACAACTAATTATGTGTTGTTGTTGTTGTTGTTGTTGCTTGGCGCTATAAAATTTATAATACCCACACAAGGCACATAAAACCCAAAGTATGCAGCAATAAATTTTAAATTGCAAACATAAAATATTTCGACAAATTTGCAAAAAAAAAAATAAGAAGAAGAAGAAAACACACACACTCACACACACAAAGAAAACAATGAACAGAACGCCTTAGGACATTTTTTTTTTAGTGTAAAGGGAATCCACACTCGCGCGCCCACTCCCTCCCTCTATCTCTCTCTCTCTCTCTCTGTCTCTGTCTTGCTCTAAGGCCGAAACTTAATTAATGCAGAAACACATTTTGCAGGACGACATATCAAAGAACTCGACACGCTCCGAGCTGAGCTTTGTGCCCACCACAGACGACGATGGCAAATCGATAACATGCCGTGCGGAAAATCCAAATGTGAACGGCCTCTATTTGGAGACCATGTGGAAATTGAATGTCGTTTGTAAGTATTACAAATTGTGTTTAAGTCTAAAATATATATACATATATATACTGTGTATACGCTAAAAATAACCCAAAAAAAAAAGGTAAGAATTTGCCGACAGCTAGCAGAAAGGTAGACAGCCAGCTGAAATTTATTACGACGTCGTCGCCGTCGTCGACGTCGCCGTTGAAAGCCTTTAAAATGCAAATAAATCAAAGACAAATGACAAATTGTGAATAATTTGCTATGGGCCAGAAGGCAGCCGCCATGTTGCCACCCAAAAAACAGTCCCCCGCACCCGTACACCCTGCGCACCTTTTCGCATTCAGCGCCCCAAATGAAATATGTGGGCTAACAGAATGTATGGCAGGCGCTTAAATTAAATGAAGGACTTTACGTACTCATATACCTAGCCCCTGTCTATGGCTACTCCAAAACAAAGCAGACAACTCAAATACCCCTCAAGGAAAATCATATCAAAGTGAATGCTTCGTTGCCAAGTTATGGCCAGGCTCTTGTAATTTTGTTTCAAGTATAGACGATAGAGGTTAGGTTTCATTGGGTTGCGGTAGGTTGGGCTAGATTAGCTGTACTTAGGTTAGGTCAGTTGAGCTTGGGCTAGACTAGCTTATTGATTTCGTCGGGTGTTAACGATTGACAGATGAGATATGGGTGCGTTGTATATGGTTATATGAAATAGATTAAGTAAGGATAGCTAAGGTCATATTAGTTATGTATTGATGTCAGACAGTTCTGAAAGTCAAGTATTTATTAGAGCATTTCATTCATTTAAACTTCTCGATAAATTCAATGCTTCATCTGTGGCCCATCTTTAGTTTATCATATATTCAATATCCGGCCACATCTCTTAGTTATTTATGCCACAGCTGTGAAATCAAAGCACAGATCGTAGTTAAAGATTAACCAACTGTCAAACTGCCATGCTGTTGGCCCCAAATTGTACAGTCAATGGGTCAATAGACGGCCAAGTAAGCACTGCGGACATCGTAAAGTGCCAAAGCCAGAGTTGTGTTTGAGTTCACGTTACGTATACGTCGCGTTGTATTTTATTATTTCGACTGTGTGTACATTGTGCACACACACACACACACACATACACTCACACACACATACTCACATGGCACATCACGTAATGTTGTTTCTTTGCTTTTCACTTCCTCAAATATTAAATTTTTACTGCAATCTGCTGACGTCAAAAAAAAAAAGAAGTAAAGAAAAGAAAAGTACAAAATACACAGCACGAAAAACATGTTGTTGTTGTTGTTTAGGCCTGATGTTAAACAAAACATACATATGTATTTAATATATATATATATATATATATATACCTATATAAATGTATATATAAGGTGTTATTATTATATCTTTTATGCGCCACACATACTTCTTGGCTTCATATTTTATATTTTAGAAAATTATTTTTTATTTGTTTGTTTTGTTACTTTGTTGTTGTTGTTGTTTTCTGCCTTTTGGGCAATGCTGTTCGTAACATTGATGCAAATAAAGTTTATGATCAGCACGTACGACAGTATATTCATATATAAACAAACACACACACACA